CTCTGTGCAGCGATTGGCGCGGCTGATCAAGGCCAGAGGTCAGCTGGCGGTGGCGCAGAAGGGCCCAGTACGACTGTGATTCGTCCGGGCGCTGCGGCCGGCCGTCCACCGCTACTACCGCAGCCTTCACGGACACACGAGCAACAGCAGCAGCAGCACCTGCAGCAGCATCAACCTCAGTCTTCGCACCATGCCGCACCGCAGTCGCCTCAGCAGCAGCAGCACCTGCAGCAGCATCAACCTCAGTCTTCGCACCATGCCGCACCGCAGTCGCCTCAGCAGCAGCAGCAGGCTACGCAGCAGCAGGCTACGCAGCAGCAGGCTACGCAGCAGAGCCTTGCACAAATGCAACACGCGCTTGAGCTGCAGCAGCAGCAGGCGATGTATGGCTCAGCGCATGTGCCGCCGCCGTATCTTGAGCACTACAACGGCGCACAGCAGGGGTATGGCTACCAGCAGGGCACCGGACACCTGCTGCTGAACCAATACGGCGCACAGTCGCATCATCCGGGCCATGGTGTGTCGTCTGCTCATCAGATAGAGCAGCAGTTATTGCAGAACCAGTGGCAGCAGCCGCAGCTGCCACCGCACTCGGACGCGCAACACATGCATTCGTATCAGCAGCAGCAAGAGCAGCAGCAGCCGCAGCAGCATCGCCAGACCGAGCATTGGTGGCATGTGGAGCAAATGCATCAACGAGCTTCCCAGCAGCCACAGCATGCAGAACAACACGACATGGATCACCAGCGTGTACGCCATGGACATTTCCAGCCTGATCAGCTGCAGCAGCAGCAGCAGCACCAACAACAGCAGCAGCAGCAGCACCAACAACAGAAGCAGCAGCACCAACAACAACAGCAGCAGCAGCAGCAGCACCAACAACAGCAGCAGCACCAACAACAGCAGCAACAACAGCAACAGCAACAACAGCAGCAGCAGACCCACAACATGCAAGAATCCAGTGCCGGTGAAACACATCCAGTCAGCCCATCGGAACCCAAATCATCTTCTGGACAGGTCCCCAATACAGGCAGTGGTCCTCCTCACTTTGCCCGTATTGCTGCCAAGTTCCCAGCTGATGCCAGCTCCTTGGGGCGACCGGAGGGATTACCGATGTCCGGGAAGGGTGGTGCCAGGACATCTCACGGCACTCAAGTACCAGCTAGCGGTGGTGATGGAGGGAGTTGGAGCAATGCCTCCGCCACCGCTGCTGCTGCCGCTGGTCCTGGCTCAAACTCTCCAGATCTCTACCATGGTGACAGCGAGCTCGACCTGTACCGGTCTAGCCAGCCACGGTCTTCCGAATCGTACGACAGCGGGCCGCCTGACCGGCCATCGGCGTACAGCAGTGCTCACTCTGCTGGTGAGCTCCCCGCTGGCACTGCTGGCTACGGACACTCATCTTCTATCTCACACCCACAGGGCCAGCAGCACCAGCAGCTGCAGCAGCAGCACCAGCAGCACCAGCACCAGCAGCAGCGGCAACACCACCAGGGCGGCGGTGTTGGTGTTGGCGACGATTTTTATGAGCAATTGGGTTTGGAACTTGACCAAATCTCCAAGAGAAGGGACAGTTACATGCGGCAATTGCGAATCGCAAACGGTGAAAAGCGCAGGCAATTCCTTACAAACGCGCTTGAAAAACTCCGCCAGGACGAGGCAAGGATCATGCTGGACATGGAAGGGATGGATGACGTCGAAATGCCGGCATTGGAGGCTAACGCAGCCCCGGCCCCTGGTGATATGTCGTATCCTAGCGATGGTCGTTATTCCAGTGGGAGCCATGTTCCGCCTGGCACTCATCCAGCGCCTCCTGCGAGCACTGTGGAGGGCTCTGGCGCTGGTGCACGCAGTAACCTGCCAGCACGCGGCGTAGCTCCCGGTCAACACGATCGTGGCGGCCATCTCTCCGGCGTTGGTGCTGCAGTGCCGTCCGGTGCGCTTCCTGCGTCCATGCAGTCGGCTACGGCCACGTTCCGTCCATCTGACCAGGCAACAGGCACTGCTGCAGCCCCAGAAGCAATGGACATAGAATCCGGTGAGCGTAATCCTGCTGCGGTGGCCCATTCTCGTCAAGGTGAAGATGGTGAAAGCGGTTCGAGGCTACCAGGCAGCCTGCCGCATCCCGTTGAGTCGCGTGTGGACCAGTACAATCGCCCAGGAGGCGACCACTCGTCCACATCGGCTGAGGAAAGCATGGACATTGATGCTCCGAATGACCAGGTTGCCACTCGCACTGCCGCCAGCCTGTTGGCGGAAAGCGGCGGCGGCGGAGAATTGGGCACAGCAGAGGCTGGACGTGCACAGTCACCTGGTCATGGTGCGGGTATGGTCGATAGTCACCGGGTCATGCTGGAATCGCAAGAGCACGGCGAGGAGAGTTCGGGTGTTAGGCTGTTGCCCGACAGTGCCGATGCTCCACATCTGGCTGCCCGGGCTGAGCAAGGAGCTGCTGCAATGGAGGGAATTCAGCCCGATCAAGGGAATGTCAGTTCATCTCAACAGCCTGTGCCCGAGACCGGTGCTTCCACAGCAGAAGTGCAGCAGCATCAGCAACAATCATCGGACGCAACCAATACGGGCACCCAGGACGGCCCTCCGTCCGCAGCTGCCAATGTCGCTCACGCCAGTGCGCAGAACGCACAGCAGCAGCAGCGCGGTGCAGCATCTTCGGCTGCCGACGTGCTCAGCACAGGCGATCAGGAACCTGGCGACATACAGCGTCACAAACCCGGCCCAAACGCCAGTGGCTCGCCCATGGAGAAAGAGCAAGCTAGCGAAAAAGAAGAAGAAGAAGAAGAAGAAGAAGAAGATGACGATGACGACGACGATGACGACGGCGACGACGACGACGGCGATGATGATGAGTTTTATGATGCAGTAAGTGGGCAGGACAGCGACGGTAACCTTGCTGGTGACGCTCACAAGGACCAGACGGAAGAGCAGCCAGAACAGACGGAAGAGCAACTTGCCAAGAAGAGTGTGCAGAAAAAGCTGAAGAAGAAAAGGCCCAAGAAGAAGAAGGCCAAGAAAACCAAGCGGAAGAAGACCAGTGACGAAGGTCCGCCCCTAAAGCGCCCAAAGGACAGCGGGGATGAAGGTCCAGGTGGCCCAGCAAAGCAGGCAACGGGCGCCGGGGATGACACCTCCCGTGCTGGTGCCATGGAAAGTCCTGCTGGGGCTGGAGCGGGCAGCGGTGAGAAGGAAACTCTTTTGCGGGTAGCTGAGAGTGCTAGCCCTTCTACAGGGGATGATGTCCAGCACGGCTACAACACGAGATCTCAAGCGCAGAAGTCTGGACCACTTCCCTCTTACTCATCCGTTGCTGGCGGTAGTAGCCAGATGCCAGTAAGTGATGTGATTGTATTGAGAATGTTGACTGACACTTGGTGTTATTGCCGTCATCGTCATCGTTGTTGTTATTGTTGCGGGCTACGCGCCTGTGTATGTATTGTTGTGACTAATGTAGCAGAAAGGTATTGGTCTGTCTTCCTGGTGTTATTGTTAAAGCATGTTCTAGTGAGGTTGCAGTCTTTTCCCGCTGTGTTGTTGCAGTCTGCTACTTGTGCCAGCACTCGTCCTTGTTTGGGTGATGTTTGGTTTTGGCAGGACGTGAATCTATGCGAAGCCATACAGCAGACCTCCCGGCTTCGTAAATGAAACTTTGGATGTTTATGTTATGTTGTGGTGTGCGTGCGTATTGTGTTGTGTGTGTGTGTGTGTGTATGTGTGTGTGCGCGCGTGCGTGCGTGTGTGTGTGTGCGTGCCAATGTGTGTGTCCTTCGGTGATTTTATTTCTTTGCTGCGCCACAGGCTGGGGAATTTCGCAGGAAGCAGCCAGAGGGAAACCTCAAGGATCCTCGCTCCAAGACAAGCAGCGGACAAAACCAGCCGACAGATATGTAAGCCAGTGCACAAGTTGTAATCTTTACATTGTATGGCATCATGCCATCGCAGTAGTTTGCCAATGGGGAGGTCTTTGCTTGAGTAATGATCACAAACCATATACTGTAAGAGTTGAAACTTGAAAGCATGACGAGTCTAAAGTTTAACAATTTCCAAAAGGTTTCCCACTTAGGGGCCATCCGGAATTATCGATGATTTTCACGAAAGGAAAAAAAGTTTAGTTATGACCCTCCCCCACCCACCCATCCACCCCTATGAACGAAAAATATATTGACTTGACAGCTAGAATGTGCTGATGTTTCAGCTATCAATATTTTTCATAATGAAACTCTCCTCAACCCACCCACCCATGAACGAAACTTCTTCTCTTCGTCGAAAAGATCGATAATTACGGATGGCCCCTTAGCTGGCACAAAGTTTAACGACCCTGCCAGCACACACCTGTCTTCTATTTCTCCAGTGTATCTGCTTTATAGCTAAAAAATAGATGAATAACTTAGCAACGACTGTCCGGGCGGTGTCACAAAGAAATTTGAACTGTGTTGAGATTGGAAGTCTGATGGTGTGTATTATTATCGTATGTCCGCACCTTTAAAGCCGTGGAGGTATATTCGATTATAAAGCCAGTCTCAGTTATAAAGCCATGGGCTTCCAAAATGAAATGACATTTGAAGTATGTTTTGTAAAAATGAAGGAATAAGTACTAAACTAACCAACTAACTTAGGGGCCGTCCGGGGTTACCGATTGTTTTTACAAAACGAAAAGTTTTAGTTTTTTTCAGCCCCCACTCACCCACCTTTTCTGCAGGTAAAACGAATTCCAATAAAATATTGATGTCAATTTTCGACACCCAGAAGTAACTGGGCATTCTCCATCAGCATTCAATAATTATTTTCAAAACGAAACTCCATCAAACCCACCCACCCACAAACGAAAACATTTCGTTTTGAAAATATGATTGGTAACCTTGGACGGCCCCTTATAGCTCAGCAGGAAGGGTGAACAAGTAGATTTAGATTGAAATTTCTGTGTGGACTTTGACTTTTATGGCATGGCATTATGAGTGAGTCTTTTCGCATCTAAAATAGCTAGGAAAGCAGCGGTGTTGCGAATATAAGGCCATGGCTTTAAAGGCGCTGGCACACGGCATGTAGTTTTGAAACACACTGTATTCCATTCATGTGCACACGATTTTTTAATTGTTTTAATCTACGGCAGTGTGTTTGTGCCGAGGGACATTGATATCACGGCCCCTTATAGCTCAGCAGGAAGGGTGAACAAGTAGATTTAGATTGAAATTTCTGTGTGGACTTTGACTTTTATGGCATGGCATTATGAGTGAGTCTTTTCGCATCTAAAATAGCTAGGAAAGCAGCGGTGTTGCGAATATAAGGCCATGGCTTTAAAGGCGCTGGCACACGGCATGTAGTTTTGAAACACACTGTATTCCATTCATGTGCACACGATTTTTTAATTGTTTTAATCTACGGCAGTGTGTTTGTGCCGAGGGACATTGATATCGAAAAGAAACCGACTTCTGATGTAATGCTATTGAATTCAGGACTGAGTACCGCAGTGATGCGCATAAAGCCTTAGGTGCACGTTTTCTTACCCGGGCATAGCCGTGCCCTCACTATGAAGCACATGAGCCTGCATGTGGAGCACTTTTCACTTTCCCCATGTACAACCCTGCTTCTATGGTGCCTGGCTGGCGCTGGTGAGTCAGGATGGATATTTGTTAGAACTGGAATCGACCCCACTATCCCTGCCCGTCCTATCTGATCGGTATCTGCGTGTGTTTGTGTGCGTGCATGGGTACATGCTTGTGCGTGCGTGTATGTGCGCGTGTATGTCCATGCGTGCGTGCGTGCGTGCATGTGCGTGCGTGCGTGTGTGTGTGTGTGTGTGTGTGTGTGTGTGTGTGTGTGTGTGTGTGTGTGTGTGTGTGTGTGTGTGTGTGTGCACATGTGGGTACATGCGTGTGTTCTCAAATGCTTACTTCTGCTTGGGCACACAGTGTAGTCACAGGTAATGGCAATCAGTACGGGTCCGTCACGATTGTCTTCCACGCTTTGATTGCCCCCGACTGGAAGCTTGGCCAAGGAGACTCCATTGCACTATCGTGTAATCTCAATTGGAAAATACTCCAACCAATGAAGTTCACCGGGTATGTCTTTGCCGATGCATGCATGTATATTCCGTACTGGTACATGTCGTCAGTGAATATGGCCAGCCCTAGGGAAGGGAGAGCCTACGAAAGAGGGTATTGTTTGTAGATTTATCAGCATTTTTTCCTTCTCTTGCAGAATGATGTACCATGTACCATACTTCTTCCTCGTCACCGAAATTGATGCTTCATTTCCGCAATGCCGTCCTAGAAGACTTTCTTGTCGTGTAAACAGATATGCGCTCAAACAAACAGCTCTTGAGTGATGAGTCGCGTTAGGAGACACCGCAGACACAACAACCGTCAGTGTTGCTCAGGTTTTATCGATTAGCGCAGTTTTCCGATGTACTTTTCTGCAACCCCCCTGTATAGATATCTCTGGATCCACCCCTGATGTCTCACTGCTATCTTGTGGAAAGGTTGTTTTGACATTCATGACATTCATGTGTGCCTGGCACGTGAAGTTGTGGATTTACCTTCACTTTACTCTGTATAGGTGTTCAGCATGAAGCCGCTGAGTGGCATTTTTTTTCAATGCGTTCCGTTAACTCTCCGAATATCTTCATGTTCTGAACTCTTTTTTTCCATCCCTGCAGTACATGTGGTCCGAAAGATGCGTACACTATCGCAGAGTGCCATGTCCAGATTCCTCTTGATCGCCTTCTCCACGCGAGAGAACTCATGTACAAGTACAGCCGGAATCCCCGCCGTCGTGATGCTGATTTTGAAGATATTCTTGTGAGCACCCATGGATACAACTATACAAACCGCCTGCTCATAGTGCCTGCAGATGCGCTACACCCTGGAGGTCAGTTGGTCTATCAATTTCCGCATGCAGTTGTAACGTTTAAAATTAAGGTTGCGTTTGTTCGGTGCCATTCCGCCACCATTCCAAAGTCATTCCGCCGTGTTTTGGTTCCGGAGCGTTTGTTTGATGCACTGGACAGCGTTTGTTCGGTGAAATTCCGATTCCGGTCGCGGAATGAAGGGGGCAGAATCGATTCTGGCGATTCCTAAGAAAAAGTGGAATGAGGTCTCATTCCGAGCGGAATGAAAATGCTCGGAGGGGCTTCGTCGCTGCTGCATACCTCTCCAACAAAGCTTCAAACGCGATTGTCGATATAGTATGTTGGCGGACATTGTCCAGGGTACCGGTATAGGCTGGCACTGTAACCTCGGCATAGTACCTTGTTCGTGGTGTTTTGACCCTTCGCTGCCTGAGAAAGTGTTCGCCCGGGATCGTTGATGAACTGGAAATACACCCTCGCACCTCAGCTCTTCATCGTCGTCGAGCAGGGCCTCTAGAATCACAGGGAGACCCAAGACCCAAAGAGGCACCAAGCTTGCCACTTCACTTCTTCTTACAACAGTGCCTCGTCTCTGTAAAATAAACACGAGAGCTAGAGACGTTTCTGTGACTGATACGAGGTCTAATAGCATGATGAAGTAGCGGCCAAACGCCGCCTGCAGGCACCCTAGTTACGGGCGCTCGTTGGTCTACGCCGTGTTTGGCCGCTCCTTCATCATGACTGTCGTCGGGACATGCAGAAACTTATGGAAGCAAATAGCAACTACCAGGATTGGCATGTAATATAGTAGTCTTCGCAAGGTTGCAATTATTTGTGCAAACAACAGGTACTAATAATACTCATACTAAAAAAACCCAAAAACATTCGACCGTCGTTTCGTTTCCAGACTGGCGCAAAACTTTTGCCAGATTCCCGAATGCATGCCGGCGCGTTTGTTTGCTACGCTCATTCCGATTCTGCGATGGATACCAACGTCATTCCATGCCCTTTCGGGAATGACCGAACAAATGCAACCTAGGTCCATGAATGGCCAGTATCATTCTTTAAGGTGGCTCATACCCAAATCGGAAAATAAAAATGGCCCGATCGATTTTGTTCAAAATTGCACAGCTCTTTAATACTACCAGAATATTGTCAGTCCCGAAAAATGGGACGGATTGAAACACTTCTTCTTCTTTTTTTATAGTTAAGACCAGATTTAAAATTTCTGGTATTTTGGAGCATTTTGCACACACATCTCAGCATTTTGCCTCTACTGTTGTATTGTTCCGACTCAGTAAATGTTATAGTTTTCTTTTCAGGTATCTGAGTGGTGATTTCTGCAGTCAAGCAAAGCCAAATAGAGTGGCTGGGCTTTCTTTTCAGGGTTCTTGGCTGCCCATACTAACAATTTCATTCGGTTCGGAACGCAAATATCGGTACTCCGCGGCGTGCTTCCTGAAATTGGCCTGATAGATTTTCTTCATTTCTTCAAGAAGTACAGCCAGCTATGTGGTTCATACGCTAAACATTAGATATTCGATATTGAATCAATGTGAAGTACCTAGGAGCACGGTTTACTGAATCCAATATTGGCTGACGTGTGCGGTGGACCAAAACATTACAGTCAAACATAATGGCCGTATAGATTTCATTCAAATTTTGCAGAGGTATACTCAGATAGTAATGGGAAGAGTCTGCAAAGTTATAGCCCCCTGCAGCTACATGTACCAGAAGCATACCTTGTCAAGTACTATCAATTTGTCGATTTGGGGGTAAATTTACGTATTACTGCCATCAAGTAAATTGAAACTGCTTTATGGATTCCCTTTAAATTTGGTGAAGATGTTCTTTGATTGATGAAAAGTTTCATGTTTCTGTTGCCACCAGAACATACCTTTTGAGTCGATTATAGAAGCTATTTTTGTCAAAACCACTACCGAAAAAGAAGAACAAGTTTTTACCGGGGAGGTTCGAACCCACGAGGGGCAAAAAGTAATAATATTTCATCATAATTATTTCTACTCCAAACCTGCGCAGAAGGATGCTCAAAGGACTAGTTTTCGATTTAGGTACGAGCCACCTTAAGGAGGCGTGCGATGCGAACTCGCGAAATATCATTCACAGAAAAAGTCAGTGATGCGACAACACCTTGCTGATTTGGCGCGAATTCGCGCGGTTTGGTACAACTTGTACAAATATATAGGCAACTCTTGAACTTTTGTACAACTTTGCGGTAAAAAAGGTCAAAATTGTACACCAAATCGCTTGTCGCATCGCAAAAGTTGAGCCAAGCTCAACTTCTGCGATGGCCCAGTTGCGGCAGTTGCGTGGGGTGCAAGATGGCTGCGATTTGGGGATTTCCCGGTTTCGCGGCAGTCGCATCGTGTGTCGCATCGCAAAAAAGCTTCTGTGAATCCCGCTTTAGCCGGAATCCCACAGGGCTATATTCGCCGTTGAGCAGAACCTGCACTCTTTGTAGTGTGTGCAGCTCTGCTAGAACGCTGGTGTCACTAGGGTTGTGCTTGTACAAATAACCACTGCCCCTGCATGTGCAGAAATATGTACTTGGGTGCCAGAAACTGACGCGTACTTACCAATCCCGAAAAGATTGTCTGGGTTCGAAAGGGGGCATGTCACCTGGGAGTACACTGTACAACACATACACGGCACCACCTGATCAGCATGCGGCACAGGACGTGTTTGATAGCTTGCGTGTGAATGCGGGGGTAAGTACACGGTTTTCTCGTTAGTTGCATGCAAGAGAGACGATGCGACAGAAAGCAAAGCCCTTTGTTGGTTTTCTCTCTTGCACTGGTAATGTTCTGCTGTTGGAGTCGAACTGCTAAGCCATAATCCTTGTTTCGCTCTTCTGTGTAGTGTGAAGAGGTCAACGAACGTGTAGAGCTCACTTTGATGAAGTAGGCAAGGCTGTGAGCGCTGTGGCTCAAAGCGATAGCCCCTAAATCTTACGAGATATTTCGAGTGCTATTGTTTGTTGTGAGAGCTTCGTCTTCGATGAGTCCTGCCGGGTTTCCTCCTATAGGATCAGCCACGAAGTGACTGTACTCATCTGCGGCCGATCAATGTTCTACTGCACAAGAAGAATGCGTTTTTGCCAAGCCAGTGCCCCGCCAAAGGCCATCGCCATGTCACACCGTCGGAACGAGTTTATGATGGGAATCATCATTCACGCGAACGTGATGAAGAACTATTTCGAAAGACAACACAGTCTCCACCCGCGAGACAAGTGTGCGCAGGTCCTGGAAGGGGAGAATGTCTCCCATTGGGCGATAAGAACGAAGACGACGGCGGTATTTCGGCAACCTGGAGTCAGCGGAGGTCGTCAAGCTCCTCCGCCTCCGCGGTCCGGTACATGTACAGTATAGGTGACATGTCGACACGAGCGTGCGGAAACACAGCATACACTGTAGTAATGTTGCAAGACTTTGCGGAAGAAGTCCAAGTCGGAAAATCCATCAGCTCCAAAAGCTACCTGTAGGTGGGCGATGCGACTCCAGCTTCAGACTACAACAGTCAGGACTTGTAAATAGTTGAACTTTGTGAAGCAGCGAATCGAGATGTAAGTTGAAATTATGCCTGTTGCGGTATGTCTGCGCTATATTTTTTTACGGAGAGTCGATCGCCACGCGAATGTTCCTCTCCTCGCCGAGAGCTAGCTGGCCTCCAAAGTCCGTCAGGATCTGCCTAGGATGCCGAAGGTCCTTTGACTAGCTGCTGGCAGGACTCCATCAAATCCTTTAGCTTCAGCTCGGCGAGCAAAAGTCTCTCTCTCCTCCGCCATGAGCTGACACATACAAACTACAAAATGATGCACTTCACACGAGCTGGCTTGCACGCGTGCCCCCTTTCACGAACCCAGACAATCTTTTCAGAATGGGTCTATTGTTGGATGGGTTGTCTCGTTTAACCCTTTAAATGCTTAAGATGTACAAAGTATGTTCCTGCATCACTCAAGTTTCTAGTCCCCTGAGAGCAATGTTGGAGAAGACTTGCGTCAAGTTAGTAGGGCGTGGTCGGTGTGACTGGCGGGCTTGGGAATGTACGGGCCTCTTTTGTTGTGGCTGTTACCAGTGAGGCGGCTGCTTTGTGGTCTTTGTGTTTGTTGTGTAGTAGTGGTCAGCTGGGCGCTGCTTGCCTGAGGATGAGCTTGCCTCAGTAGCCGCTGGACCATCATGTGCACGTTCTGGCCTGTTCATGTGTGAATGTTTTTTGTTTGTTCTGCTTTGTTGTTCAGGGTCTTTCGCCAGGTACGATGATGTGATCCATTCCAATGGTGTGAGGTCAATTGGTGGCTGGTTCAAGGACATAGTTGGAATGAACGATCGACCCCTGGAGGAGAGGTACCTTTCGCTGCGGACGTTCCTGCCGCGGTGGGATTTCAGCGGCAGCCCGGCAGGGATGCTGGAGCAGGTGGAGGCTGTTGCCAGCGTTGCCAGGCACTTCGACAATGCTGTGTATGCTCTAGAAGGGCCTGGTTACCGGCGCATGAAGTGGGATATTACCGGCTTCTCCTCCGCCCGAGTAAGTGAATCATCTCTGCATTGCTGGTGGCCTTTTTGCGGTTTTTTCATGCATGGCTGAAACACATAGCCGAGCAACAAATCATTGGACTACACATTATGTATGTCAAATGCTCTCAGAGTTGCGATATGCACCGTGGACACGGGATGCTGCTCTTTCTGACCTGGCCAGAACAATCTATTTGCCGTGCACTTAACTGACTGTTATAGTGCACAGTGAACTTCGAACTATGCATTACCATCTTCCAATTATTACTACAGGTAGATTCCCTTTAATTCGAACCTCAAATTGCCAGGCCCTAACTTCTAATTATCCGGAACTTGTAATTATCCAAATGCAGCCCCATGCACTGATATGTATGTCAAAATTCTTGAAATCGCATGCTGAATATTTTTTGCACATTATTTTTTATTTGCATCAACGGAAGATAGGTGGTCGTACCGGTCATGTACAACGGATCATCAAAACACTGGATCGACACAAAATCATTTGACATTATTATCTTCATCTTCTACTTCTAGTGAAGAAGTTTGTCAGTCACTGCAGCTTTCCTGAAACAATTTCAACGGAAAAGAACTGCGCTGCCTAATCCGCGCCATGAAAGGCCGTCGGACAGCAGCACGTCGTTCTGAAGAACGGAAGTGAAGCATAGGCATAGACAATATTTACGACAATAGTGTTGTTGTGCGCCAACATCTCCGCGCACGAGCTGGCGCGGCAAGAAAGGCCATCGAGATCCGCGAAGAGAGTCAGCCACCTGGAAGAAGTCGTCTTCAATCAAACCTTTGCAATTTGCCTCGCACGGGCTTGAACCAAATTTCGAGAGAAGGTGGGTTTCTTGAATGCTATAGTCGATCCTGCAGCGGACCATCGATCGATTTTTGAGCTACTCTTGGCTAGAGAAGGAGAAAAGAATGAACTTCGAATTACAAGGATAGCAACTCAATCTCACTTCGAAATAAGCGTTCAAAGAGCATAGCCAATGTACAGTAAACTGCTCTTCTGTACGAAGACTGGGTTCGAATTATCCAACCGGCGCACCATTCGTAGTTCGAATTATGCATTCGATTTTGACTTGAAGTGACTTGCAGAAGATCGGTACAACGAAAAAGTTCGAATTACACGGAAGGTTCGAATTATACCGTATTCGAATTAGAGGGAGTCTACCTGTATTAGCAGGAATCCCACGTACTTGCTATGTATCGGTATGTAAGCGGATTCCGGGAGACTTCTAATTACAGTGAAACCTGTCTAAGACGACCGCTCAAGGGACCAGGGAGCCAAAGTCGCAAGTCAACCGACACTGTACATATGGCATGTAAATGCATGCGATTTTCGTCGTCCAGCTGAGCAAGCTGTGTTCGTTTCAGAGGGAGGGGAGGGGTCCGAGTACAAAATGAACGATGTTCGCTTCAGGGACGACAGAAAACGTTTGCGACGACCCCTAAGGTCACCCAGTAATGGGTTCAAGTACCGGGAATTGTGTTTGATGTTTCTTTTAAGCAATCCCGCTGCCACTCAACACTATGTTGTTAGCATGGTATCGGTTACACACTATGCCAAGGACATTGTGTAAACAAAATAGAACATTACGAACTCAGAAGTAGCGACTTTGGCGGTATTAGTGATAAAGTTGGTTGTTCCAACGAGGAACACACGCTTCCTGCCGAACTTGACACTTGACTGACGCACGACTGCCGTCCTGAGCACACGGGAAGTACGTCGCACCGTTGGTCAACTATCAGTGCATTGCCTGTTTCTGTTGGTCTCCATATGCAGGCGGTCAAGAAGGATCTCTTCCTGCCAGCCTTGATTGAGCTCACCGAGAGCGTAGACATGTCGCCTCCTCAGCGCCTCGTCAATGCACTGGTCTTGTGCATGTTGTCCAAGCGCATCGGTTTCAGTCTGAACGCAGACGAAGCAAGTCAGATGGTTAGGTGTCTCACCTTGGAGGTCGACGAGGAGAAGCGAGAGTGTCCGCAGGTGTTTACTGTGCTCAAGGCCTTTGATGAAATAGAACTTGGGTGAGCATCGTATGGTGTAGTTTGGAGCTGGGTGAATTCCTACTTTCTGTTGGGAGCCGGGTCTTAGGGTTGGCTGAACGGGCAGAAAGATATGCATCTCTGTTGATGTAGAATGCGTTCAATGAAACGAGAATATGGCTACAATACTAGTACAATACACAATGGCATTGAATGCTGGAGCCATTCATGTTGCCAAATTTGTTTGCTGTCTTGCCTGTATTGTGGTCGACAGAGTGAAAACAACTGTACATCCTGCATTGTGCGACCCGTGCTATTGTTCATTGTCACTTTTGAGGCGGGGGTAGGGGTTTTACAAAATCAGGTCGGGTATACCATGGAGGATGTATGGACAAGCAGATCTGAAACCCAGATTTGTCACATTTGAAGTGGGTTTTAAGCCAGCAGGACTATTTTGGTTGTATGGACTACAACAGCTGGCACTCATCCCGAGCCCTGTGCTGTTGTATACGTATACTGTTACATTGAAGTGGGAAGATAATGCCATCTGGCTCCACTTGTTTTCTCTTCTTTAGAATGCACGTGCGAGCAGCTGGAGCATGTCCTTCTAATGCGTTCCCACTTGTTGCAACATAGCGGTCATGTAACAGTTATATGTTGTAGGGTTGATCCACCTGTAACTTTATAATCAAGAGTCCATTAACACGGGTATGCAATCGTGATCTCTTTTCTATGGACCAGATGCGCGGCGCGCTGCCTTCATTACATCATTCAGCTGCAGTCCGCGCACTGCGGAAAATCAAACACTGCACTTTCCCTCTGGCTTGAAATGAACTTTCGTACGGAACTGGAGGTCACGCGCCAAAGTTTAGAGATCGCGTAGGCGGTGGAAGAAATCGAGCAAAAACGGATGGGCTCGTACAAGAAATTCGGGGTTTGAGTGCATGCTTTCAAAGCGTGATGGAGGCAAGTTACGCAATGAAGGCAGCGCGCTGCGCACTGACCCATAACCACAGTTCCATACTCTTGTTTATGCACTCTTGATAATATTTTTCTGTGGGAAGAAGATGCTTAATGCCCACCCTGATCTTCCTAACCTGTTTAGGGTTTGTGTTGAGTGGAAAAAACAGTAGGAGATGACCGACAGCTTGTGTGCTTTCAGATGTGCGTATGTGCGTGCGCGTGCGTGTGTGCGTCTGAGTGAATTCCTGCCTTGTTTGTGCGTGTGGGTTCTCATGCTGTGTATTTCTCCTTTTCCCCATCCTGCAGCAAACTCACAGAGGGTCTGGTGCACTTTGTCAATCACGCACGGGAAACGAACAAGAAGGCTCGTTACTGGCAATTCCTGAAGCTGATGCCGCTGGTGCACTTCCTGATGGGTGACTGTGAGCCTTTTAAGCCGCCCAGTGGCAGGAGTACTGAGCACACAACAAAGAAACTGGACCCTTGGTGGGGTCTCTCAGCTCTAACGGGCTCGAGCATTGCGTTTGCGACCCGTGAGCAGTAAGTGCTGTTTAAAAAATAAATAAACTGTGAGATGCATAACGCTGTTTATTATCTACAGTCCTGGTCAGAGAAATCCAACCTCATGAATGCAATGACGGCGGGGGCTACGCGACCCTACCGTCACGCACAAACCACAGCTCTCTCTACTCGAGTGAGGCGCTACTTCTGTTCATGAGGTCGGATTTCTTTGGCCAGACCTGTACGTAATCAAATCAGGAAGGACTGATCTCTTACTTACTGTTCAATTGGACTCAAGAAAACAGCCTCTTTCTTTAGGTTTTGATGCTCAGCCCAGAACTGATATTTAAACGGAGAATTTGCATAGTTTATCCTCCCCGGTTCTCATTGTGGTTGCGAAGGCAATTGTTAGCACAGGTCAGACTGGGTCAACGCATTAGCGCCTGTGTTCGTGTGTGCACGTGCGTGCTTGTGCTGGAATACGTTCCCGGAGGTGGGCGTACCATCGCTGAAGTCCTTGCTCTTCTGGCGTAGCCTGCTTCAGTCGGGCTTTTGCCATGATGAAATAGCCCTGAGGAGTGGAGTTGAAGACTCCAATGCAGCTCCTTGGCTGCCATTCCTCCATGATGGAAAGGAAGTCCTAGTAGTTTATGAGCTTCCGTGCGTGTGATCAAGCAAAAGGTCCTTCACCAGCAGGGTTGATTGACAAGGCACAGTTTGTTTCTAACTCCTCTCAGAGAAGTTTTAAAACGTGTTAACATGCCGAACAGGAATACTTTGGACAAGTGCAAGTGCTATGTAAGTCTCTTGGCCTGTGGGTGAGTGTTTGCGAATACTGTTAAGAGCATAGCGCTCAGCGCTGATTGCCTTGTGCTCCCGCATTTCCTAGAACGCGACTGCGGTTGTGTTTGAACAGTAGCACCTATCTTGAGTTCATTGATGGAATATATAATTATATTATTTCCTCTGTAATCACGGCTTGTCTACGTGTTCTTGCTGTTTCGTTTGTTTTGTTTCAGATTGGAAGAGGCTGCCAAGGAGTTGCGACCATTGCTCGTCATCGACTTGACTCTTGAAAGAGCTATGATGCTCATGTCTGGCCCCCACCTACTTTCCGACGCGGCTCGCTTGGTCAGCCCCCAGCCGGGTGTCCTTCTACGCGCCGTCGGTCACTGCATTGGCAAGAGTGAAGTGTCCCTGGACACCCCCATGGTGTGTGCATATGTTCATGTTTGTACTGGACCGTACCCTATTATCTTTATAGTCCGGGTGTTTGTTAGTTGGTTGTTCGTCTCTCTGGCTTTCCTCTATCTCCACGTGTGTCCGCATGCTGGCGTTCTTTGTGTGCGTATGCCGCGGAATTCTTGTAGTTCGAACCCGGATAAGATGTACGTGTACGCATTGGTTTAATACCGTATGCATGCAATGCTGAAGTTGCTTCGCAGATAGAACATCTGCGTGGGGCGGATTAGCTGTCTGTCACGGCATCGGTACCTACCCTGATGTGTATGTATATCTACTGTGCCTGATCTGTGTTCCTTTCAGTTCAACGTCCTAACTCAGTGTGCCGAGGTAGCCAATCCACTGCTGGAGAAGTGGCTGGATAATGTGGCGTAAGAGCAATTGGGTCTCTGGGCTGTGTCAGTTTTCTTGTTAGCGTGAGATGTGCGGCCTTTGCTCAGTCCATGCATGACCACTTTGCTCCTGTCTGCACTTGGGCCTCTTTCGCTGCTGTTTCGAGAATAATTACTTGTTGCTTTGTATTGCTGGGTACGGGCTGGGACTGCCAAATCATGTGTATTTTGGTGGTTTGCTTTTGCTTTGGTGCGGTATAATAATGTCACCTGATGCTACGCGTATATGGCGCACTTTTAGGTCAGGTATATAAAATGAAGCACGGGGGTGGTGTTCTTCAGTGTCCTGTCTGTGCACGTGCATCTGCAGTTACGGCAAATGAAATACCACTCCTGGTGTCGCGCACGTGCACATGTACCCATGTACCCCATGTGGGAACTGCATGTCTAGTTGCATGTATGTGCAGTTCTATGTTGTTTCACAAGGCGGGGGCGTTGAAATGCCGTGAAGTTAATTAATGGACGTGCATGCATGGTGCGCCGGGGTAAACGCACACGCAGAGCAAGCAAGTTGAAGTCCATGCTTGCCCTGAATAGACCAGGCCAGCGGGGAGGCAGGGGTCGGAATTCACTGGCCTCGAATGTTGTTTTCTTGGCTGTGTGCATGATTGTATACAGGGAGTGTTTTTTTTTCTTCAGTATCCTGCTCTTTTAAATACCGTATTTTCCGGAGTATAAGCCCCCCCCCCCCTCATTTTTTTGGTGAACTTTGAGTGCTCAAAGTGCGACTTATACTCAGGAAAATACGGTAGTTACGCCAGACGGAGTGTGCCGTGCCACACACGGATGCCACTAGCTCATGACGGTGAGGTGCTGGTCTGCCTTTGCTTGGCGTCTTTTGTGCAGAGTGAGCTCGGACACGTTGCGGCGCCTTGCCCTGTGCAACAGTGCCGTGAAGTATGGCTCTGCGCTGCTCAGCGCCCTTGTTGACAGAACATTCTCGTACACGCCGACAGAGGAAGTTCGACGCGCCCTGGTCATCATCTTGGATATGCAGTTCAGGTGAGATCTGCCTCAGGGCAGGAGCGTAGCTCGTACATACGTGGTGTGGCGTCTACAGGCAACTTTGCGAATAACGACACTCGACGGGTCATCAGGAAAGTGTCCTTATCCGCGAAGTGCCCCTATACCCGAATTTTCATGTTATGTATTACGGTTAGATGGGACTTTGCTCTGGGCATGGAAATTCTGTCGTTATATATATATATCTGCAGTCGTTATTAGCGAAGTTGACTGTATGTACCGGAGCACATCTGTGGCGTGGTGACCATGTACTGGAGCATATCCGTGGTGTGGTGACCATGTAAAGGCGACGGTTTCAAATAGGACATAGGTTGCAAACCGGAACGGTCTCAATATTCACTTTCTCTCTTGGTATTTTGATTAGAAAACGTATGTCACAGTGAGACTACAATGTGTTTTACTCAGCGCCAAAATTCCATGGCTCTGCGATGACCAGAAGCGCCACACCAAGCATTTGAGTTTTTGACGTGTTGCTTCCCACTGCGACTTGAGTTTTACGACTTTCGAAAAATCAACTTCTTGTCGCAGGTAAACAGCGGCTTGCCTCTCGCCAATAAAGCACCGCATACCGATCAAAACTAATGGAAGCACACACAAGGCTTATTGTTACTCTGTACTGGCCGTCGTGGAGCGATAGCAATTACCTAATTTCAGACCCAGAGTGAATTTGATGTGCACTCTAAAACATGTCCGGTTTGGAGCCACCTCTGATTTGAAGCGAAAAATTGGGCAACTTGGAGGCAATGGGTCAACACAAAGCAGTGGCTCAGTTCGATTGACTCTGGCCTCAGAGCAAACTTCAACATGCCAGTTTCCTTCCACAAACATATTTCAAGTGAACAATCAACGCTGATGATCGGTTTGGGTCTATACAAATTTGGTGTGGTGACCCTGTACCAGAGTACATCTGTGGTGTGGTGACCCTGTACCAGAGCACATCTGTGGTGTGGTGACTATATACTATATACCAGAGTACATATGTGGTGTGGTGACCCTGTACCAGAGTACATCTGTGGTGTGGTGACCATGTACCACTGGCAATCTCATAGTTGCAGTTTTTACCTACTGTCACTATGTAGTATACCTATGACAGCTATTTGCAGGTGTAGTGACCGCACTACGCTGACCGTACACGAGCTACGCGCCTGCATGGTTTGTGTGTGTGCTGTGCTTTCTGCTCCTTGCCGTTTGGTCAGTGCCCGTTCAGTTGCTGTGGAATCGAGTAATGGGTAAAAAATAAATACTACTGTACAACCGGAAAGTCTAACGTTTTATCGGCCAATTATTTTTCGTTATTTGAAGAAAAAAACGTTATCGCTAGATGTCAGTGTAAAGATGTGCATACAGATGGGTGGCCAGGTAGCCATCGTTAAACTTTCTGCACGTAATCATGCCAAAATTACAAAAACGTTAAACTTTTTGGTCGTTAGACTTTCCGGTTTTACTGTATCCGAAAAAGTTGAATGCTCGTTGTGGAAGAACTATGGATGAAGTGCCTTCGCGGAAGATGAAATGTTTGCATCAGTTTTACCTTCCCTGCTGCTGTTTCTGTGCTTTTAGGCTCATGGCTCAGCACAATGTATTTTGGTACCTCATGAAAGACGAACTTGTAGCTGCTAAGAAGAAGCAAGAAGAGGAGGGTAAAGCCGGCTCTGCTGAAGACCCAGCAGCTGCTGACAAGGCGGTTGATTTGCCAGAGGCGAATCCTGGGATGAATACTTACCTGAGAGGCGTATTTGACAGCTTGTCCACGGCTGCCTTCAAGCTCATAACAAAATCTTCAAGCGCAATGAGTACTATTGCACGCAGTGATGCCTTGTTCCAAAAAGAAGTAATGGTAAGGTCATTGCTACCCCCCCCCCCTCTTCCACTCATAAATATCTGATACATTTATTTACGAGTTGGTGTGAGTGAAGTGTGTGAGTGCAGTGCTGACTACGTTCCACAAGCCTGTATAGTTTCACAGGAAACGTAAGTTTCAAAGTCTGAAGATAGGTTGAGCGGTCTCTGCCGGGATGACGTCTACACCATAACTTTAGAAGCCAGAGCATTCTTAGGATTTCAAGGGCCAAAATCAGCAGATTAGGGCACTTCCATGACCAATCCAAGTAAGATAATTTTAGAAGCAGCTTTTCGGTCGGTTTGTCGGAATGACCTGTAAGAAGATCTGGGAGTTTCCGAAAAACCGGAACAAGTGTGTGAGTCCTGTGATAGGTGTGGCAGGACTGTACAAGATGGCACCTTTGTATGGCTTGTCGTTTCTCTGTTGATGATGGCGTAATTTGCTATTTCTGATGCTGCTGCTGCTGCCGCCACCGCCGCTGCTGCTGCCATGAATGTGATGTGGTGCTTTGTTGTCAAGATCTACAACCAGCTGATTCACTTTGATGGACTGGACCGACTGGGTGCTGGGAAGGAGTGGGCTGATGGTGTTGTCGCTCAGCTTACGTCTCGCATTGGTGGAGTAAGTTGTGCCTTTTGTTTTGAAGTTGTATCTTGTTGCTCTGTCGCGCAGTTTATTGGTTCAGGCCGTCGTTGACATTTCGTGTGTTTTAGGACTGTTTTGATATTAATTTTTCTTTGTTGCCTATTCTGCAGTTGCATGCGTATTGGCACCTCATTGACCCCGCTCGTTCCTCGTTCTTCATTTCATTTGGCCTAAGCAAAGACAAGCCAAGCTTGCTTGGTGATGCCAACGCGAAAAGGCTGATACAGTCAAATCTGCCGTTAGCAACCTCTGCTGTAGGCGACCATTTACCGTTAGCGACCGATTTTCCGTGCACCGACGGTTCCACATACAAACTGATCTGTCCAGAGCGACCATCTGCTGTGCGTGACCAGCGACCGCGATTTCATGCATGGTGGCTGCATTCAAATCTGCTGTAAGCGACCGCGACCCAGGTTCAGTCAGGTGCGAAACTGTACTTGCCAGTGTGCAGTCAACTGCAAAGTGTGAAAATGCGCTGTCTTGCAAGTGCGATCGACTGGCGCCTGGCCTGTACTGAGGCTGTGCTGTAGGCTGTAGCTCTCAAGTCCAGGCAGTGTCGATCTACTGCCGTGTCGCATACGCGTACTATACGAGTATGGTCGTCGTTGAATATCCAATAAAATGATATTAAAAATCACATTATTCTTGTCGATTTGAGGACATGGAAGCATATACCTGGTATGCCGGATTTACCATACATCTGCCGTAAGAGACCATCTGCCGTAAGCGACCGCTTTTTCTTGCACCAAGGAGCGGTCGCTTACGACAGATTTGACTGTAATAATAAAATAAAATAAAAATACGGATGACCCCTAAATCCATGTTCGTACATGTATCTCGGTATCGAGTATTCCTTCTATACAATGCCATCGTGTTCCGCTTTCTCCGCACCAACTGCAGATCAGCAGCAAAGAAAAACTGGAGCAGTTGTGTGAGCTGGCCACGGACCAGTATCACCCGCAGATTGGAACACTGCTGTCGGCCGCTATCACCGAGGCGCTGGATGACCTGATCAAGGCAAGTGTGCTCACTGCACTCCATGCATGCTGTCTTGTTCTCTCCTACGTAGCCATTGGCTTGCCTGGAAGGCCTGGGTGGTGTGACTGATGACTTCTTTCTTGCTTTCGTATCTCGCTTGTACGTGTTGAGTTTCGGAGAGAATGAGCGGCAGGCAGTTAGCCTAATCTCGTTATGCTCTACTTTGAAGTACAAGTACGGGTATTCATAAGTTTGAGGAGTGTGAAAGGGAAAGGGAAAGGAAAAAGGGTTCAGCCCAGTTCATGCCTTACCTCTACGAGTAGTAATGTTATAATTATACCTTTATGAAGGCTTCTTGGCAGATTGCATGAGAAATGTTCCCTGCAACACGCTCGGGAATGGTACGGAATAGAATAGGCGAAGACGTTTTGCTTGTGGAGACAACGCGGATGTTTCGTCCTGTCTTTCTCTCTTTGACCGTGCAGAAAGGCAACGCAGGACAGTTTGTGTTCAACTCATTGCGGTCGTTCAGCAGTGGACGTGGCCCTAACCTGATTAGCAGGCTTCTGCACGACTTTGTTGGCCGCAAGGTGAAGTCTAGCAATGACAATGAGGAGGATGCCATGCTGAAGAACCTGCTGACATGGACGTGCTGGCCGTCCTACATCAATCACTACTGTGAGTGTACCTGGGATGTTTCTTACTCTGTGTGTGTGTGTGTGTGTGTGTGTGTGTGTGCGTGCGTGCGTGCGTGCGTGCGTGCGTGCGTGCGTGCGTGCGTGCGTGCGTGCGTGTGGGGGGGGGGGGTCTTTTTGAATCTCTCTCCCCTCTCCCGCGGGGGACCCCCGTGACCAGTTTTGGCAGTGAGCAAGTACAAGTAGCGGGGGTGGGGGGAGGGGTGATGTGTGTTGTGTGGTGTGATACATGAACATTGTAGCCCCCCCCCCCCCCGTTACGAGATTGTTCAGATCAGTTGCATGGCGTTCAGTCAAAATTACCTGCGTACACCATCCAGCTGTATTGGCCTTTCTCAGCCAAGAAAAACGTCTCACAGCTGGCGGGAAAGTTAGTTGCTACGCCTGTCCAGTCTGTGATCGCTGTAAGAAATGGCCGTGAAGTGTGAACCCAGTCGTCTCACTGACATCTCTTCTTCGACTTGAGATGTCACATCCACCAGCGGGCCCAGAGATCGATTTACTTTGATTTTTTTGCATAGCAGTGACTGCTACACAGTTTTACAATTGACTAGCAACTCCCAGTATTGATTAGTAGTTTTCCTTCATCAAAAGTTTACGTGTATATCTGTCCAATAGCAGGATTTTGTACAGAAGAGGACAATAGCTGCAGTTGCTATTTGCTTTTCCAAGCGAACGGTTGACCTGAATATTTACGTTAGGGTTTTCGCTTGGGCTCGTTACATGTTCAGCGTCCTTCCGACTTCGAGTTCTTCACAACACAATATCCTTCAACAGGGCAGTTCCACTGATTCCTTCAACAAAGAAAGCTCAGGAAAGCGCTCGAACGATCGTGACACTTCGTGCAAAGCGCACAGAATTTTCGCTTTTCTCCTTTTCTTCATCAAAACGAATCGACACTCCTGGCGCGTCCAGTTCTTTTTCCCACTTCTGGACAGTGACCAGACTCACTGACATGTTGCCTACATGAGACTAAGAACCATCTACTTCAGCTGTGTTTTGTCGAACAGAAACAAACTGAATTGAGCTTGACAGTGAAAGAAGAAAGGAGAACTTCAGGGAAAGTCGCCGCCGTGTACAAAACTTCAAAGAACTGCAGTCGACTAGTCATGTACGACCAGTTCTAGTGCAATGTCCAAAATCATAAAGAGCGCGATCCGCGACCCGCGCGCGGACTCAGTAGGACAGTCCAGTTGGTTGGAGTAGTAAAATACTACTCCCCAGTCAGCAGTGTGTACAGCAGTCGCATGTAAACTGCACACAATCAGTACAGAATGGTCTTTGTACATACCTCTATGCATATGCGCATGGCCAGTGTATCGCAGTTTTGGGCGATAAAAAACGAAAAGCGAATCGCAGCCAGTGAATTTTGATTCGCAAACTGCGATGCGAACCCGGATAAATCGATCCCTGTCGGGCCATTATCATGAGGTAATATTATCAGCCCAACAACAAACACTTATCATGTAATAGCTTTTTGTTTAGAGGAAAGCAAATCAGCACACGAAGCACAGAAGCCATATAGTTCCGACTAGGCCTTTCATTCCATTACTTTTCAAGTCGAATACAATGGCGATTAACAAAGTAGCAAGCAAGTCCTTATAACCTTGTTAATCACCATTGTATTTGACTTGTAAAGTAATGGTACGAAAGGCCTAGGCTTTATAGGCGATTAACACGACAGGCAAATCCACGTTTGTCAAGTGCCCGCAGGAAGTGAAACGTGAGGCCGCAGTTCACACGGCCGCGGGTGGCGGCCAGAGCTCCCGCGAGTATCCGGTGAGTATACGGCGTTACTGTGGTGATTTGGAATGAGTACCCAAAAACAAAGGCCAAACAACCAGGGTTCAAGACTACCGTACCATAGTACGACCTCACAGCCTCATAACTGTAAAAGTGCCCGCAGATGAGTGCATCCGCGGGCAAAAAGGCCATGGACACTTTTGATTCCCGCGGGCAAATTTTGGTCACCCGCAGGAATATCTCCATGGTGACTTTCCTGTAAACGTGGATTTGCCTGTCGTGTGAATCGCCTATTACTATGGCTTCTGTGCTGATTATCATGTAATCGTGACACAAGCATGAGATGCACACTGTGTAGGAAGGGAGGAAAAAAGGATTGGGAATGTTGTTACTCCAAGTTACATGCCACGTAACCCGGATGACACGAACGCGAGATGTATAATGTATGTGTTACACCGGCGAGTCGGTTCTCTCGCCTATCCGGGTATTTTTTTTGTGGAAAATGGATGTGTGCAGTTATGCGAGGTCTGACTGTATTATGGAGATACACACTGTGACAATCCTCTGTTGTCTTCTTTCCAATGCGGCAGGGCAACCATCGTCGCCGGGTGCAAGTCGCGGCAGCGGCCTGGACGCCGAGGCCTCCGAAGTGCTCATGAAGGGCATGAGCTCCCTGGAGACACTGCTGAAGCGGCTGGCCACCGGCGATGTCTCGGTGGCGCACACGCGCCTGGCCCACCAGCACCGCGCCCAGCTGCTGCTGCTCTGCGAGGAGATGGACAAGGCGTGTCGCAAGGCCGCCGACGCCAAGACCGCCAGCAGCCACGCCAAGAACGTGGAGAGCCAGCTGGCCGCCTGTCTGCGTCTGATCGAGGAGCTGGAGGAGAAACAGGCGCGGCTGCAGTGCATCTTTTCACTGTGCCATTACGGAAATATCAACATCAGTAAGGACTGTTTTGATTCCCGCTATAAAATAAAGTATACAACAAAAAATGAGTTAATGCACAGTCGGACTTGATTATTAGCGATTCTGATTTCGATTACCGATGTTCCCTTCTGAAGGCACACGTCACAAAGTATTCACATGCCATTCTTGAAATGAGCCGGTGTGTGCTGTAGTGCTAATGCAGCAGTGAAGAAATGTGCGGCACTGGAGGGTGCAAAACATTGAATTTGTGCTATCCAGTGAGCTAATGCAGCAGTCAGGTGTTCGAGTGGAGTGTAAATTAAATTTCCTTTCAAATCAAATCTGAATGCGCGATTTGTGCGTGTGTGCGGGAGGGTGCAGGTGTATGTGTGTGTGTGTGTGTGTGTGTGTGTGTGTGTGTGTGTGTGCGTGCGTGCTCGCGTGCGTGCATGCGTGATGTGTGTGTGTGTGTGTGTGTGTGTGTGTGTGTGTGTGTGTGTGTGTGTGTGTGTGTGTGTGTGTGTGTGTGTCCCATATGGTGCAGTGGTATGTGCAGTCGATTTCTAATCGAGAGGTTGCGGGTTCAATTCCCGACGATTATGGTCGCACACGTCTTTCTTCTCTTTCTCATGCTCCTAGCTATTCTTTCATTCTCCTGGGTGGTTACCAACAGCCAGTGTATGCCGGAGTATGTGGTGTGGTGTGTGTGTCGAAAAAGAAAAAAGAAAAAAAATGAAAAAATGAAAATTAGGGATTCACTGGCCAGAAAAAGCCACTTCAATCAGCTGTGTGGTGGATACCAGGCTAAAAATTAGTGGCGGTCAATTCATCAGCCTTGCAAGCTGTTGAATGGTGTAATCCTAGCACTAGTTGCTATGTCTAACATAGCTGTTCGCTATCATTGCTTCTGCGATGGGCAGGTCTGAGGTCTGAGGTGTGTGTGCGTGTGTTTGTGTGTGTGTGTGTGCTTTAATCCCACTGTGTGTGTTTGTTGTTGCATTGCCGCGTGTTCCCAGCTGTAGCTGGTGGAGACGAGCTTCGCCGGGCTGTCCAGTCGACGATCACACCGCGACGGGTGAACGAGCTGAAGCGTCTGTTCCACTACAGCGCCGAGGTTGCCGAGATGCTCGACCCGTTTAAGGCCGCTTATCAGAACCCGGTGTTTGTGCGCATGTGCGAGGCGCAGTGCAAGAAGATGCGCTCGAGCGAGTCACTGTCCGCTTCCACTGCCCTGGTACTCAGTCTGGATCAGATTGCGCTCGGGGTGAGTTGATTATCCGCTGCAGTCTCTTTCTTGTACAGGTAGAATGACAGTAGTTTGAACACCCCGCCCAATTGCGCTTGTATCTCTCTTTTAAAACCAGGCACCCTATGGGTGAGTTTGAGTGGAAATATTACTACTCTTTTGCCAAGTTTGAGTGACGTCGTATCCCAGATCTCTGGCCCTTCCCTAGCAAAATGTACATAGTTGTCCCAAACTATTTCTATTTTCGTACACCCTGCATAATAGGTATGTAGCAATGGCACACCTGCACATGATGCACCCTTGCATGCATACCACATGTACCCAGTAGGACAGTGTTCATAGAAATATTATAAGGGGTCGTCGCAAAAGTTTTCTGTCGTCCCTGAAACGAACATCGTTCATTTCGTACTTTGACCCCCTCCCCTCCCTCTGAAACGAACGCAGCTTGCTATGCTGGACGACGAAAATCGCATGCATGTACATGTCATATGTACAGTGCCGGTCGACTTGCGATTTTGGCTCGCACCCCCTCCCCCCCAAATGAATCATGTTCGTTTCAGGGACGACAAAAAACTTTTGCGACGACCCCTAAAATAAAATGAAACAAAATGAACGTTCTCCTCCTATGTTATCATATAAGTTAGAACCTTCCAAGTTAGAAGGCTGTTGGAGTGCGCATCCAAGATGTGCTAGAGCTGTCAGGCAGTTAGTTGTAGAACGTCAGTACCGTACCATCAGTCCGTGTCGTGCAATTATGTTATCGCATGAGCTGATTATTTAGTAACTGGTGGTGTTAGTGGACATTATAGCGTAGCTTCTTCCCTTTCCCTTTCTATGTAACGAGAGAGCTTGGAAGCTCAGGGCCCTACGTTATGCTTTTTTGCCTTGATGACCTAGACAAAAAAAGCATAGGGATGTTATAAATTCTTATAAATTTCTACTTTTTGTTTTTAGACGTAACCTGGGATTCGAACCCGCACTATCGCCCTACATGCATCCCGGATACACTTCGCATACATACTAATTCTTCCAAGTTGCTTCACGTTATGATCTTGTATTTGAAAGCCCTATTTGAATATGCATTGTGGCCGGTCGTCTTTGATTGTACAGTACGGGACAGGTACGGGACAGGTACGGGACAGGTACGGGACAGGTACGGGGCAGGTACGGGACAGGTACGGGACAGGTACGGTCGAGGGTAATACGACACCATCTACCGCCTTGATGACGGCAAAAAAGAATAGGGATGTTAAAAAATTTTCAATTCTCCTGTTTTTTTCAGGCATTACCTGGGAACCCGCACTATCGCCCTACATGCATCCCCCCATACACTTCGCATTCATACTCATTCTTCCAAGTTGCTTCACGTTATGATCTTGCGTTTGAAAGCCCTATTTGAACATTGCGGCCAGCTGTGTTTGATGGTACGGTACGGTACGGGACAGATACGGGATAGCGCCAGGCGTGACACAAACACACAAACAAACAAACACCAAACGAGAGAGCTTGGAAGCTCAGGGCCCTACGCTATGCTTTTTTGCCTTGATGACCTAGACAAAAAAAGCATAGGGATGTTATAAATTCTTAAACAAATTCCTTTTTTTAAGACATGACCTGGGATTCGAACCCGCACTATCGCGCGCCCTGCATGCATCCCCCGATACACTTCGCATACATACTAATTCTTCCAAGTTGCTTCACGTTATGATCTTGCATTTGAAAGCCCTATTTGAATATGCATTGTGGCCAGCCGTCTTTGATGGTACGGTACGGTACGGGATAGGTACGGGACAGGTACGATCGAGGGTAATACGACACCGTCTACCGCCTTGATGACGGCAAAAAAAGCATAGGGATGTTATAAATTTCTCAATTCTCCTATTTTTTTTTCAGGCATGTCCTGGGATTCAAACCCGCACTATCGCCCTACATGCATTCCCCCATACACTTCGCATTCATACCCATTCTTCCAAGTTGCTTCACATTATGATCTTGCGTTTGAAAGCCCTATTTGAATATTGCGGCCAGCTGTATGTGGCCAGCTGTGTTTGATGGTACGGTACGGTACGGGACAGATACGGGATAGCGCCAGGCGTGACACAAACACACAAACAAACAA